CATAAAACGATAAATAGTTTGTCAAATTTTTATTCATAAAAATGCAGTTTCAACTGCTTTTTATTTTATAAAATCCGTCTTCTTGCGCCACCAGAGGGCCTTTTAAACAATAGGTAGTCTGTTAGCGTTGGTCAGTAGTAGTCCTAATGCAATACGAACGTTTGTTTCTTGAAAATTTGATCACGATTTAAATACAGTATTTACTTTTAATATTACCGTTATGCCATCGAAAAGAAAACGTGTTGTATTATCATTAAGACAAATTAAAGTATTTGTTTTGATTATCCGGATTTTTCCTTATCCGGACTACCTTCATCCCCAATTAGTCCGGATAATCGAGGTTCTACTGTATATATTTATTATATATACATAATATAAAAATTTACTTACATGTTTATCTCTAGTGTTAGGAAGATATCTGGCACTAAATATATTTGCTTTATGACCAGTTTGTATATAGGTTTTAACCTAATTGTCATAATAAAAATAAGATCACATTAAAATTTTAAGCATGTAACTAAACATTACACTCATAATAAGTATTAATGTATACTTAGTTAAATTTTACTCATAATTTGCACATAGTTAATAAAATATAAAATACCAATCTGATTGAAAATTGCTTTCATTTTCCTGAATTTAATATCATTTTCATATTTTTAAATTTTTGAACACACTATTATTATTCTATTTGAATTAAATATTATCTTTTATCTGAAAAATTATTTATTATTATTTTTACTACATACAATTATAAATGCAATTAAGAAATCCAAAATTTTATCCATATTTTCAACTACTCAAAACTGGGTATACTTAATGAACAAATTGAATGAAACCAATCTCTAAAACAATTTTGACAGAAAGCATTGTCAGTTAGCCTGCCGATGTCTGTTTAACATGGTCAAAAACATTTGCTTTCTGTAGAATAGTGCTGGAGATTGGTTTCATTTGCTTTGTTTATTTTATCCATATCGATTAAAAAAGTATGCAGTTGACAAACAATATTTGAAACCAGAGCTCACATTTTAAACAATTTTATTATATTAAAAAAATAAATTTTCAGCAGTTAATATTACTTCTTATAAACATACAGAAATTTTCATATAATAAATAGTTTGGTTTTTGTAAAGAAGATTATGGAGTATAAATCTTATAGATATAGAAATGGAAGACAGACCTATTAAAGAAAAATTGTATTTTTATGAGATAATTTTATTTATACAGTATAATGCTATTCATGAGATTAGTATGCAATTAGTATGTTCGTTCAATTTAATAAATATAAAAAGTAAAAAATATAGTGATTTAAGTTATACTTAGAAACTATAAATGTTATTTTTACCTTATTTTTTATTCTGGAAAACAAACTATTTACTTATAAAAAAAAATGTATTCACAAACTGAAAGTTAAAGTACTAAATATAGTCATGTAAACATCTTAAACATCTGTTATAACAAATCTGTTAATATCATTATCACTGTAGAAGATAAATTGTATCAATTACTATTCAGTATCTAACAATACTTAATAAATAAGCACAATCATGGAATCTGATAATCTTCTAAATTGTCAAGTCAGTCTATTATGCTCGGATAAAAAGATGACTAAGAATATTATTATGTGTAAATTGTATCAACAGATTTAAATATAATTACATTAATAATTATGATCCACTTTAGAGAAAATTAATTTTTTATAACATATATCATTATAATTATAATCATAACAAATAAAATACCTTATAATCACTATTCACTGATTAATTAAAATGCCTCAATGTCCTTGACTTACTAAAATATAAGTTTTCGTCTACAAGTACATATCTTCTAATATCAGGACTTATTATACTGGCTTTACAGATAATGCTACAGAGTTTCATAGAAAACAATTTTTTATTTTATTTAATATACAGATATATTAAATAAAATAAAAAATTATTTTCTGTGAAACTCTGTAGCATTATCTGTAAAGCCAGTATAATAAGTCCTGATATTAGAAGATATGTACTTGTAGACGAAAATTTATATTTTACTATTCACCTGATGTTAATAAATTCAAATAACTAAAGTTTATAGAAATAAAAAAAATATATGTTTTTGTATTAATTATAGAATTATTCAAATTAGACACTTCATAATGTATTTTATTATTATTATTATTATGGAATTATATGAGAGCTATTCAGAAATTAATCTCCAGTATGCTGTGAAGAAAAAAAAAGCACGAATAAAAACAAACTACATTCATTATACACACAAAGTATTGCACAGTACATATCTTAGCTACTTTTTGAAATAAGTTCCACCAAAATTCAAGCATTTGTCATAACATGGTACCATTTTCTGTATCCCATTATCAAAGAAGTTTAACGTCTGGTAGTTCAGCCATCTGCGAATGTCATGAATCAGTTCCTCATTGGATCTGAATTGCTGCATCTCCAACTTTATTTTCATTTTTGGGAACAAATGAAAGTCACTCAGTGCAAGGTCAAGGCTGTAGGCTGAATGATAAAATAGCTCTAATCAAAACTGTTGAAGGAATATCTATGGATGTGTTGTCATGGACAATAACCATACCCACAGTCAACATACCTACCTCTTGTTCTAATAGCTTTTTAGTTTTTTCCAGAGTTTTTGTACATCTGCAAAGTAATAGTAGTCCCACGCTCTATAAAATCTGTAAGCAACACTCCCTTAGTCCCAAAAAATTATATCAACATATCTAGCTGGATAACAATTGCTTGAATTTATTGGAAGGACAATTCAGAACAAGAAGCAAGGCATGTTGTCCTCAGGCATGGTTCTTGTCCACAACAGTGCTCCAACAGTTTCAATAGGAATTGTTTGTGTAATTTCCTTCACTCGGGTACAAATTTTGTTGGGAATTATCAATATATGAAAAAAGAATATGATTACAATTAATCATGGTAATAATAATAAAATTTTTACTGTTTTTCAGCTTTAAATAAGCATTTAATCTAAAATTAAGAATAACAAGCACTTTCGACAAATTCAAAATTGTCTTCTCAGGTAACAAACAATAGAATACAAATACATTATAGCATTCTAATAGAACAATTAATAGATATGACATATTAGCCAGTTTTTAAACATTTACAACACGTCAACATTTTGAAGGATGTATAAAATACTGGTAAAAACTCCAAAAAAATATTTTTTTAAATCCCACCAAAGAGAGCATCTCTCTTTAAGAACATGTGGAACCTATATATCAAGCTTTGAAACGAAACCAATACTATTAAACACTACTTTTCAGAAATGTGTAAAAATTAAACTATTAAGAAATAGTAAAAAAACATGAACATTTGTCAGATAGATTGTCCATAGGTTGCTATAGCATTGGATCATAAACAATAAAACATACATATCAACATCATAGACTATATAAAGAAAGGGAAATCTAAAAATAAATATATAATATATAAGAAACTTAACACTTCTCCTATAAGTAATATTGTTGTAATGGCCTTCCTTGTCCCTCTGCCTCTTCAGAAACCAAATTGTGACTCATGTATTGGGTTGTTCGGAAAGTAATTTTGTTTTTTTTTTACCACTAGACGGATTAGTCGTATTTTTCCTGCCATTTTCATTCTAAACCGTATTATCATTATATATTTTGACAGCTAGTATTTTAAGGCTTATTTGTAAAAAATTTTGTTTGATTTTGTGCAATAGTTTATTTTTTGTGTCCCATCAAATATGGAAGATCGAAAGCAGCATTTTTGGCATATTTTGCTCTTTTATTACCGAAAAGGTAAGAATGCTGTTCAAGCAAGAAAAAAATTGTGTGACATGTATGGAGAAGATGTATTGACAGAATGACAGTACCAAAACTGGTTTACAAGATTTTGTTCTGGCAATTTTAATATTGAAGATGCACCCCGTTCTGGATGGCCAGTTAAAGCCAATGAAAACAAAATAATGTTACCGATTGAAGCAAATTGCCGAATAACAACAAATGAAATCACTGAGATTAAATTTGTCAAATTGAACTGTTTATGATTACTTAAAACAAATTGGTTTTGTTTCAAAGCATGATATATGGGTTCCACATGTTCTTAAAGAGAGATGCTCTCTTTGGTAGGATTTAAAAAAAAATTTTTTTTGGAGCTTTTACCAGACAATTTAACAATTGATTCGAAAGTGTACTGCTATCAAGTAAACTAATTGAGTAATATCATCAAACAGAAAAGGCAGCCAGAATTGATCAACAAAACAGGTGCCATGATAATGCCAAATTTCACACAAGTTTGGTAACTTTGTCAGAAACTGTTATAACTTAGATGGGATGTGCTATCACACCAACCATATTCGCCAGATTGAGCACACTCAGATTATTACTTGTTCTGGTCTATACAAATTTTTTTTTAACTGTAAGACATTTACATAAAATGACAATGTCAAAAATCACTTGGATCAGTTTTTCGTAAGCAATGATCAAAACTTTTACGAATATGAAATCATGCCACTACTAGAAACGATGACAACAGGTATTTGACCAAAATGGTTGATATATAATTCGATAAAATATTTATTTATTATAAAAATATTGTTTTTTTTCCATGGAAAAAAAACGAAATTACTTTCCGAACAACCCAATAGTTCCTGATTTATGTAGTTTTTTATTCTTTGCTGTATGATGTTAAGTAAAACCTTTGAGGCATGACTTATCAAGCTAATAGTTCTGTGTTTATCACAGAACTATTAGCTACAGTCTAAGGTACTGTACCTGCAGTTTTAGGGACAGAGATGAAGATAGTTCAGATGATTTCACAAAATCTATCTGTTTCTAAAATTTTGTTTAAAAAATTAGTTAGGATTCTTGTTCCATTTTCCTCCATAGCCTTAAAGAGTTCTCCTTGTATTTCATCTATTCCTAGTGCCTTTGTCCCTCAGCATTTTCAATGTAGCATCAATTTCTTCCTTAAGAAAGGTTGCACTCTCTTCTTTCTCCTCCACACCTTCTACGTTTAAACTGTTCTCATTTCCATAGAGACTGTCTACATATCTTTCCAATCTTAGCACTTGTTCATCTTTCTGCAATAAAATTTTTTCATTTTCATCTCTCAGAGCTCTAATTCTGCATTTCCTTTTCTTCCCTGAGATTAAGCTTAACTTTTCATATACTCCTCTTAAGTTGTTCCCATTTGTGTGGTGCTCCATTTCCAGACATAATTGATTCAACCACTTTTCCTTTGCCTATTTGTACATTATTCTTATTTGTTTATTAATGATTCTAAATGTTTCTTTTTCTTCTGAGTTATCAGTGTTATTCATTCCAGATTTCTTCTGCGCTTCTGTTAGTGTTGAAAATTTTTCAGTCTTCTTGATATGTCAGCCTGAAAAGTCTACTTGGGTGTGTTCTTTTATTCCTCCATGCAAACGACATCCGTTTAAAAATTCCTGTGGAATGCATTCCTAAATTCCAGTTGGAGTGAGTGTTGTGAGTGTTGTTGAACAGCAAAAACAGCTGCTTGTAGCAGTAGTTTACAGTGGAAAGCAACAAGGTA